CTTTGGCTATCTTGGAACACTTCGTCAGGTCCGCCTCTTGTGACTTGGATTATTGTTGAACTTAACCAGATCGCCAACCTGGACCCGATTGTCAATTTGTCTCAACTGGCTCGAATTTCTTTTTTCACCTCAGGTCCAAAATGATAGTGATGCCACCTGGCTTGGATCGATGGCTTGAAAACTGCGTCAGCACCTTGACCTTATTCAGTGCTTCATTCATCCCTGTGAGTTTGAAATCATATAGTGAGCTTCTGATGGTGGTTGACACACTGGCATTGCGAACTCGGACCTTGGTTGTGGGAGCAATGTTTAGGTGAAGACCGTGAAAAGCTGCTGAAGATGGATGCTGCCAAATTAGACTCCTGACTGACTCCTTTTTTGAGAGCCTTGCTCGCCAAAAGACAAGCCGTTCGACAGACTGGCAGAGTTTAAAAAAGACTGTTTGCCACAGGTGTAGTATGTGTGGGGCATGTATCGAAAAAAACAAATCTGGATTCATAGGTAGCTCAGCTCCGTGTCAGTAGCTGCCTATGCCTACGTATGTAATAGCTTCGAACGTCAGAGTGAATCATGTTTGTCAGGTGTACTGGCTTGGTCTGGTATCAACAGCTGGCCTGGTGGCTTATACAATGTTGAATAGCGCACCCCACTTGTGACAGCATAGCTTTCTTGACCTATGCCTGCCTGATGCTTGGGCAGCTGATGCCTACTCAGGCGATGGTTGACACATCTGTGCATTCAAGCCGCCCAGGACTGAAGAAACCATCAAGTTTGTTTCGACCTGTTTCAAGTTCAATTTCAAGCTCATCTGCTTTGCCCAAAGTTTCCAGCATGAGTCATCAGCGGTTGGATGCTTGCCTATTGTCAGTCAGTTGTGCCCTGTCAGTGTTGCCAAGCATGATTGCGTTTATCGATCATGGCTCAGTCATTTTTGTCAGCTGTATGCCACGGGTGTAAGTCACAGTAGCCAGCCAGCAATGGAAGAGGTTGCTGCTTTCGCAGCTGCTGCACAGTATGCATTGGTGAAGCTGGGGTTGATTTGATTGATGGAAGATATGGTAAGAGAACAGACCACAAGTCTGTATCAATTTGCATGTGCCTGGAGCAGTGCAAGTGCATGTGAGCCCTCACACCATGTCATGCATTGATCTCAGGATGACGAGCCTTGTTGAAATCACCAGAGGTCGTCCACTTCCAAACATGATTCCGTACTGCCCTCAACGAGAAGCCTTCAGCAGACATTTTACTTGCCTCATTTGTTCACAAATAGCTAGTGACGGATGCATGCATACAATCGTACATATTCTGTATATATATATACTATAAATAGAAATGCATATATAATATATTATATGTATATATATATATATCTATATATACATAATATATATATATACATATATATATATATATTTACATACATGTACATATACATGTGCAGACCAGTTTTTATTCAAGCTAGTACAGTGATTATATATATACATATTGGCTAGCAGGAGTACAGTTTTTAAAAGGACATTTCAAGATACATTATGTATTTATTCAAATACATGTATATATATACATATTTACAGTCATACATATTTATATACATAAAACATACCCTCAACTTGGGTACATCATAAGTAGCAACCATTCAGATCAAATCAATCTCAGCCAGGATGGACGGCGGCTTCAAGATCACTGCCGAGGACTCCGAAAGCCACCCAGTCACAAAGTGACCCGGCCAGTGATCTCAAGTGTCAAGGTGTCAGATTTCACAGCTCAAGATTTCAGAACTGCACATCTCACTCATTGATTTTCAGGTTGACAAAGCATGTGCACTGTCAGATGTTGTCAGATGTCAGAAGTCTACAACTTTGGTATTGTAGACAGTAGACAATGCATCCAGTGCCAATCAGGATCCTCTCGGAGATGGTCACTGAGTGGGGGAAAGATCTCATTGGCCAACTGATCAACCGTTGGAGGGTTCTCAACTGGGGCCACTGTGATGGTCCTGGCGACAATATCATGAGTCACGAGTTCACGCAACTTGCAGTGGAGCATTTGAACGGGTTTGAGGACTGGTTACCCTATATAGTAACTTATACATTGATGAATCATCATTGAAAGTGACCAACCAAGCCATGATGCCATGCCATTCAATTCATGTCTTGCATTTTGTTTGCTCTCCTGTTGCTGCTTGGAGGAGTGTATTTCATTTCGACTTCCTCACGAAGGGCGGATCTGGACTGTAGTCCCATCAGCTAACTGCGATGTACCGAACCGGTGGTTCCTATGTGACTTGTCATGAAGGTTTGGATTATCAGTCTGTATTTGGGTGTGGGCTTGCCTGATACAACTGATACTTTAGTTTACGATAAAGATTGCAATATGTGTCCACATCCCAGTCCACTTATCAAAGAGACTGGCTCAAAGTTGTCAGCTTGGGCCAGTCCCGTCCAGTCCAAACATCTCTTCACTCAGACTAGCTCTGCAGCCAGGCAATGGAGAGATTTGCTTTGCCTTTTCCGGGCTTTTCTTCCAGGAATGTGTGCGGGAGGCTGGGCCTTAGGTCCATGCTGTTTGTGTGAATAGTCAGCTATATTTTTTCGTTCCTGCTTTTTCAGGCTGGTGATGAGGCTGAGTATGGAATGTCACTCCCTGAATACAGGCTCGATGAGCTACCTAGCAGGCGTAGAAATTTGTAAGGACCAAGTGCTGTGGTGACCAGCGGAATGACTGAGATAAATGAGCGAACACCAATAATTTGTTTTCGAAAAATATCACGTTGGAAATTCCTGAGTTCTCTGGAGGGTCACACAATGCCACTCACTGCTGGCAGTTTGTGACTGGCAGTCTGTGCTCCCAATCTTAGCTGATATAGGATGATTTGTTTGTGCCAACAGTGCGCAGCCAAAAAAAATAACAGGAGTTGGATGTGTGACGATGGTTTACAATGTGCATCAACACTTGTCAGTGCCAACAGTGCCCAGTCATGAGAGCCAGTTGTCAATTTGAATGTGTGAAGGACATATCTTCTGGTGGTGCTTCCAGCCAATGACCCAGTTTAGCTGCTTCTTCACATTCTTCTGGGCTGCAATGATATTCACATGCGAGGCCTGGATCTGACTATTGGCTGAATGGCTTTCGAGTGTGTGGGTTTGGTTTGCTGTGACCAAGGTGTTGATTGACAGCTTCTAAGTATGCATGAATCTGAGGCTTTCTTCTCGCTTGGGCGCAGTCGTTTGTGATTATGTTCTCCTTGGGGTGTACTCAGACCTTGCAAGACGCTTTGCCTTGCATGTAGCTGTTTTTCAAATTTTGGCTTGAAGATTCTGAGCCATGTGGATGTTTCTCAGGCTTGGTGTGCCTGCAGCTGCTGTTTTGATGAGTCAGGGGGAGGCAGCTTTCACCTGCAGCATTTTCCACCGCTGTGTAAAATTTGCAATCTGAGCAAGGATTGATGTTGAGTGGTGCAAATCAAACAGAACTGGCATGGTGTCGAGATCTTGATTGATGAGTATGCTGTGCTGATGATGGTGGTGATGAAGGTGATGGTTCTAATGACATTGAAGATGATGGTGAATGATGATGAACAATGGTGAATGATTTTTTAAATTTGCCCAAGAAAGTTGCTGATGGAGCTGGTTTTGAGCCAGTGTAATTTTTCTGTTCGAAAGCATTGGTAAACCATGGAATGAATGTTGGTGAAACAAATGGTCAAAGTTACTAAAAAAATGCGAAACCTAGTACAATCAGAAGTTAGGATCCAAAATATACAAAACGATCTTCAAATCTATCGACAAATGTTCAGACTAAACATGAAAAGGTCGTCAAAATTCATTAAAATCTTTTCAGAATATGGCAACTTGAGCTTCACATCTCAATGTTCAAAATGTGGCAAAATGAGCTTCAAATCAATTCAAAAGATTGCACAATAAGCACCAAATCTGCTCAAAAGATTGCAAAATGAGCCTCAAATTTGCTTAAAATGGCTCAAAATATTGCAAAAATGACATCAAATCTGCTCAAATCTGCTCAAATTTGCTCAAAATTACTCAAAATATTGCAAAATTGGCCTCAAATCTGCTCAAATTTGCTCCAAATTGCTCAAAATTGCTCAAAATATAGCAAAATTAACCTCAAAACTGCTCAAAATTGCTCAAAATTGCTCAAAATATTGCAAAATGAGCTTCAAATTTGCTCAAATCCGCTCAAGTTTGCTCAAAATTGCTCAAAATTGTTCGAAATATACCAAAATTAGATTCAAATCTGCTCAAAATATAGCAAAATTAGCCTCAAATCTGCTCAAATTTGCTCAAAGTTGTTCAAAGTAATGCAAAATTGGCCTCAAAGCTGCTCAAATTTGCCTCAAAATTACGTAATATAGCAAAAAAATGTTTACATGTTATTTAATATGTTTTAAAAAAGCAAAGCTGTTTGCTTAAAATTGCTCAAAAAGATTGAAAAATGTTGGAAAAATGCAAAGTAAATGTGAAAAGAGATGGAAAAAAGCAGCTGGCTCAAATTTGCTCAAAAATGCTTAAACATGATGTTTTCCAGCAAAACAACATGGTTAGCTGATATGAGATGCAAATGTAATGTGGCTACAAGGGTTCTGGAAGCTGTTTGGCATGCAAGTTTTGCATGCCTATGGCTCTGGACCTTTTGCAGGTGGACACCAGTGGCGATCTGTGAGGCGTGGGCCAATCAAGAAAAGCTGGTGTCAGTCAATACTGTCAGTTGTAAACCTTTGCAATTTTCAATCATTAGGCTGTCCATGCCAGTCATTTGTAAAGCGAAATTTTTGTCAATCACAACAGTCAGCTGTCTCATTTGCAATTTCCACAGTTTTCATGTTGGCTGTCGGCGCCAGTCATTTGTAAAGGGAAGTGTTTGTCAATCACAACAGTCAGCTGTTTCATTTGCAATTTCCACAGTTTGCAATTTGGCTGCCCTTGCCAGTCATTTGTAGATCAAAGTGGGCTGCTGCCAGTCTTGTGTGTCACGTTGCTACCATGGCAACAATGTCTACTTTGCGCCCTCCTAAGAGAGCCCGCCGAAGCTCCACCTCTTCGTCCTCAAGTCATGGTGTGCCAATGATGCCAGGGGCCCCAGCAGCCAATGGGCAGTTCAATCCCATGATGATGATGATGATGGGCCAAGCCATGCAACAGATGATGAACCAGGGGAACCCGATGATGAACTCTGCAGCGCCAATGGTTCCAACTGTCCCACAGCAGATGGTGCCTCACGACGATGGTCAAAGTGAACATGGGTCGGAGTCAGAGCAAGAGCAAGATGAGGTTGGCAGTGCATCAGGCAGTGCAGGATCCAGAGACGCTCCACCTCAGCCTGTTGGAGCACCTGCTCAGCCTCAGCCAGCTTTGCCGCCTCTTCCAGCTGTTCATGAGCACGATGAGGAACAGTGGCGGGCCCAACGGTTTGCCGACTCCTACATTTCGAGGAGCGTCACTTATGTGAAGAACATGCCTCGACAGCACCTGGCGATCTGCATGGAATATGTGGACCCGAGATTGGAGCTGGCCTACACTAGTGAGTGTTCACAGATTGGGCTCTTGGCATTGCTGTGGCTCTACTCCCGTGTTAAGCCATTCGTCAAGGTGCTGTCGGACTTACGTAGCTTGCCTGCGGTTGTTTATGACAAGCATTGTCCTTTTCTTTCAGTTGGTTTGTGCAAGTCAATGCCAATATACTAACTAGTGGCCCACAGACTTTGTGACCAAAATTTCCGATGGCCACTTTCTGACAGCTGCCTGCTGAGGCTGCATCAAATACGTGGACTTCTACAAGTCGATGAAACGTGCCCACACCAGAATTTTGAATGGCATTGGGATGGAGCAGTTCAAGGCCCAAATTGTTGACAAGTTCCCACTGGCCCTTGATGATTCCTCGGTCATTGAGATTGCGGAGGAGATGGGGTGGTCTCAGCAATGGATGCATCCGAAGGCCAAAGCACCCAGGCCAGTGGTGTCAGGAGATTTGGCCACACTGTTCAAAGCAGGGGCAAAAAGAGCAACAGTGCCTGGTCCAGCCTGGTTCCCTGCACCTGTATCTTGCTGATGTCTTTATTTCAAGCGATTTTTTGGTGTTTTTGCTCAATGTATGCATTGGTCTTCAAGGTTGACTAGATACAACTTGGTCACCAGCTGGCTGTAACAGAATGTAAGTAAATAAGGTACGGGTGGGCAGTTGATGCTGCTATGCTGTCACAACCATGTGGCCAAGGTCTTGACTACGACGGTTCCTCCGAAGATGGCTTCTCCTGCGTTGACAATTGTGCCTCCAAGAATGCCACCCCCTCCTGCTGGACATCGAGCTAAGGCTTCGCCAGTGGTTGTTCCTGTGACAGCTGTCAAAGCTCCCCTAGTGGCTCCGCCCAAGTCAGCGTCAGTTGTATCAGGGTCAGTTGTACCCCCAGCCGTTCCTGTGCCTGAGGTGGCGCCCAAGGCGCCCATGGCTGGTCCAGCACGTGACTCAGCAGAGACAATTGTCTTGCCACCAGCTGGGTCCTCTCTTCCTCGAGAAATCCCAATGTGTGCCATTTGCCAAGATGACATGCTGCCATCCCAGGACCTGCTGACCTTGTGGTGTACGCACACTTACCACAAGTACTGCATCGAAGAGTGGCGTCACCTTTGCAACAAGTCTGAGATTGAATGCCAACTCCGGTGCAACATGCAACAGGTCAACACTGATGGCTTTGAGATCGTGGACCCAGATCCTGAAGCTGCAGGCTCTGCTGGAGGAGAAGCTGCCAGCAGTGCAGGTGCTACGGAAGAGGCTCAGTCTATGGATCCACCTGCGCCTTCTGAGAGTGAGATTGGGGAAGCAGCTGCTGAAGTTTCGGATTCTGTTGTGTGAAGCTGTGAGGCTGTGAGGGATCAAAGAGATACAAGCCTGGGTTCAGCACATGGCCAAAAAAATATCGGTGACACTCCATACAGCTACATGCACATGTCACTTGTGAGAATCTCAAGGAAGAATTTCAATGTGCTGACATTTTGCGCTCTAATCGGGCTGCTGCTGCAGAAAGGCCAGGCGGGCTTGCAGTTTGAGGGGTCTCTGTGACTACAGGATTGGTGCAAGTATTCTGCAATTTGTTTATTTAGCCATTCCTTCGTGATACTCACTATTCGCTTTGTTTCCATTTCTCAGCTATTTGTTTGCTTGTCATCTATGACGGACCCTCTCTTGGACAGTGGTGAGTCATCACCGATTTGGGTCATGTGAAGACTCTGTGACCACTGCAGGGAGCAAGCCTAGCCTTAGTGTCCTTTGGTGCGGCGGCTGTCGTTTTATCAATCCGCTATGGTCAGCGGCAAGCAAATTCACGAACCTGTCGAAATTAGCTATACCATGTGCTCATGGTCAGAAGTTCCGCAACAAGACCGCGGACTTCAACTCAGTTCGGCGTTCAGTGACAAAAATGCTCAGTTGATCGCTTTTTGCAACTAGTGACTGAAATAGACCAAGTCACAAATCTTGTCAGCTACAAGCACCAAAACACAAATCTTGTCAGCTGTAGACCAAGTCGCAAATCTTGTTAGCTGTAGACCAAGTCACAATCTTGCCAGACCAAGTCACGAAGCTTGTCGGCACCAAGTCACAAATCTTGTCAGCTGTAGACCAAGTCACAAGTCTAGTCAGCTGTAGAGTCATGCTTCACTCCGTCAGTTCCATGGGTTGAATCTGGCCTTGCTGGAAACTACCATGCGTTGCATTGCTTGGCAGGCTCCAATGTCATAGACATTGACATGTCAGCTGAAAGTCGCTAGAGAGAAATCATGGCGATACTTGAAACAAGTCCAAGCAGTGATGCCAACCAGTCTGCTCAAGATTTCTAACTAGAGAGACCTTGTCAGCAAACCAATCACATTCCATCAGGGTCCCAGCTGCTGTGCTTGATGGATTGCTGCCAGCATGAACTTGGCAGCAGATGTCCGGACCATCTACTTTGAGGAGCTCAAGGAGATCCTGCCTACTGCGGTTGCATACCAACATCATCATCAAGGTGAGCCAGAGTGCCTTTGCTTCATTCACTGGCATACACTCATGTCAATCTGTAGGGGTCACTGTCAGCCCGTCGAGGTCATGCCAGTTGGGAATTTTTGGAACCATGTGTGCGGGTCATTTGCGCCAGTGCAAGTTGGGCCACCCAGGTTTTTCTGGAACCTCCACTATGTATCTGATGCACTGGGGCACACCAGGAACAATATCCGTGAGTGGAGTGCGGTACTGACAGAAGAGAAAGCCATTGCAGTGCTTGGCGATGGCAACCTTTTCAAGAAGCAAGTTCAACAGTTTGAGACAGGGGCAATGTCAAAAGCTGTTAGCTGTTTTGTTTGCCAGTAAGTGGGGTCAGGCAGCCTGTGTTTCCTGACTTACTTACTGAACAGATCTGCTGTCAGTTGACTAACCCATGCGTGCCGCCCTGTCAGGATGAATCAATTGGATTCAACTGTGTGCACTACAGCCTCACTTGTCTATCTATTGTTTCATGTGGCCGACAAACAGCCCACAAAGTCTGTGTGCTTTGGACACTCAGTACTCTTTGCTGTTTCAACCACCTTTGAACCAGTGCCTAATAAGGCGGTGATTTTTCACTCACCAACTGAACTTCTCTCATGTTTGAACCCTTTCACAAAGTTTCAAGCCCAAGGTCCGCATTGGGATTTCTTCAGAAGATTACTTCTGTGCTAGGACTGCAGGAGCTTCGCATCATGGGCGGAGCTGAGCTTCAATTCAGACAGGCTTGCCTGAAGTTCGACAGCACTGGATCTTGTGACTTCAGCTTCTTGGTATTGATTTTACTGGTAGCTGCGACTGGCCAAAAGAAATCTTTCTTATGTTATTCAGTCAGCCTTCAGAGAGAGAGTTTGAACTTATTTTGCCTCAGCCTGTGTAGCAAGCGAAAGCAATGTGAGGTTCCTTCGTGTGCAGAGTTCATTCACAGCTTGGTCCATCCATGAAGACTCTTTGGGAACATCTTTCCGGTCAATCGACTATCATCGGGGATATGAGCCGAGCATCCCTGATTGATGTCATTTCCTTTGTAGCCCTCGCAGACAAGACACGTCGAACTCTGAAAAAAAAGTGGGGTGAATTGCTGTCTTCTATGATCACGTGCCTGCGGAACTCCCTGGCCCTCTTCATGGCTTCATGCATCAAAAAGGAGGCTACAAGGCTTTGTCATGCAGTGCCCGACATTGACTCGAGGGCCATTCCTTCAAGGAGATGCCGCAGCTCAGGTGGAGCCTCTGACATGTCTACTCCTGGTGGGCACAACAGCTTGGTGGTGTTTGATCCACTCAATGAAGGTGATGACGGTGCCACAGAGCAAGCTACAAAGTCTCGCAAGTCCAAGGTACTGGTTGACTTAAATGCAATTTGGCAGCTCTATGAGGATTCAATGACCACAAATGTCAGTTTGCCCACACTTGCAAAGACACGCCGGAGGGATCGAGCAGCTGGCATGTCTGAAGCTTCGGTGGACTATTGGATGAGAAAGATTCAAAACATATATGGTCGACGGTCAGCAGTGTCCATGTCAAACTGCAGGTTTTTCAGTGTTGCTTGCGATGCCAGCAGGCACAGCACCAGAGACACATTGGTCTCGACAGTGTTCTCTGTGGAGAACAATGTTGGGGTCTATGCCAATGCACAAGTCCTCAAGTCTGGAGGGAAGCTTCTTGCCCCTGACGAAGCCATCCTTGATGATGAAGTGGAGCACCTAGCTGCAACCCGCGAGATTGACCGGCTGGCTTCGTACCGCCTCATGCAGGCCATTAGCTTCCAGCTAAAGTTCCTCACATCCAAGACTTTGAACTCATTTCTGCTGGAGCACCCAGATCCCCTGGCTGTAGCTTTGGCACCTTTGACACCAGAACTTGTCAGGGTGGTCAAGCAAGACGCTGGAGGGACAAGGGTGTACCTGTGCAACAAAGTGACAAAGGAAAGCACACTTGTGGACCTGTCAGGTGCCTCACAAAAACCTATCCTGAGCTTGATCATGGATCAGGGCCGTTGCGGAACAGCCTTTGCAGGGTATCTAGCTGGGACTGGTTGCAGTCTCATACACTATGGTTTCTTGGGTTGCAATCTGGCATCAATGTCATTTGCAATAATCCTCTATCCCATGCTTGTGGCAACCGTTTCATTTTTTGATGGTCAATTCGGTTGGCCCAATTTATGATGAAACAGATTCAGGATGGGATCCGCTGCATCGCCTCATCAATGACATGAAACATGCCATGACCTTCGGCCCGAAAGATGGAACTCACTGGCTGGAAACAGCACTTTTGTGCTCAACTTATGTCTTCTCCTTGAACTACAAACCATACAAGGGTGGCAGCTTCCATGCAGACAAGCGAGAGCTTCCGGACCATTTCCTCCGCACAATGACAGAGGACCACAGTGATCTAAATTCAACTTTCCCTGAATCTGCATTGGTTTAAAAGTTCCGCTTTCTCAGTTTAAGCTGCTGTTTGTTTTGAGGATGTTGGCATTGGCTTTACAAGTTTGACCTGTCAGGACTGTGACCTTTTCAGTCAGTACGCCTACCTGATCGGCCTGGACACTGGTTCGCGCATCTGCTCCAGGGAAGATGTGGCAAGCCTCTTCCAGGACCTTCCAGCACACCTCGAATCATGCAGACACAAGTTATCACTTGTGAAGAGCGGAAGATGGTTTAGCTGGCATGGGGCAGCCGAAGAGCACATGAAGGAATGGTTTGCGTTTAAAATGTTGCTGAAGCACCAATATCCAGAAGTCGAAGATGTAGACCAGTCCGAGAAAAGCTTCAAGGAGCTCAGGAGCGACTCAGGGGGATTGAAACTGGCTTTGAAAGGCATGACTTTTCAAAACTGGCTTGGCGTCAGAATTCTTCAGGTCGGAGGAAGGCCCATGTGGAACTGGTGGACAAAAACCGTCCAGGAAATCAAAACCCCAGCTGACGGGCTGAAGGCTTTCATTGTCATGAGCCAACACTGGAGGTCCGACTTGCAGTTTCGAGAGCTTGTGGGTTGCCTGCTTGACAGGAAGGAGATTGGCATGGTGACAAAGTATTGCTCAGTGATGCAAGCCTGTCCCAGTGGTTTTGTCAAGCAGTTGTGGTACTACATTGTCGGCCTCATGTCCAATCGAGCTGCTTCCCTGTGCAAGCATGAATGTGCTCCTTACTGCTACGCTACGGCTCTTTTGGATGATGATGCAGATCCACGACAAGAAGCTGCCGCGCAAATGATGCTCGCAGACTGGAAAGCATTGTGTATGATTGAGCAGTCAGAAGCGGTTGGGGCACAGGATCTAGCAGTGGAGATGCAGAACTGCATTTATCCACCCACACGTCTTGCCTTTTTGTCTTTGGAAACCGGAGATCGACCAGGGGCCTTGGAGCTTCTTCGGGCTATGCTGCAATCTTTTTCTGATACCAAGGTGATCGAAGACTTACATCAGCGAATCAGGTGTGACTCTTTGAAGAACCCAAATCGGAAACACACAGCTCTCGAAGTCCAAAACATTGTCATGACCAGCAAAATTCTGGAGACACGGGGCATAGCGCACCCAGCTGCGCTCACCAAGAAGAGTTTCTTGAGCAGGTGGAAAAAGGCAAAGGCAGAAAAACAGAAGAGCAAATTCCACTGCGCCAACGAAAAGCTCCCACTTACTACAGTAAGATCATGGCCAGCAAGTCATGGCCAACACTGTCTCCTGAAACTTTGACCCGTTCTGCTGGGGCCTGGATCTGGGCAAGGGAATACATAACCAGATCACTGAAGCGATCCGGTGTTGCGTTGAAGGTGCCCTGCATGAGTTTGTAGGTTTTAAAATTTCTGGACGGCAATTTCTTGTGGTGATTTTGAATTTATTTGACCTTTTTGCCAATCAGTGAACGAAGCTGATACAGCTGACATATTGCTTACAGCTGATAGGTTGCTTGCAGCTGACACATTGCCAGCTGAAATATTACACCTGACATCAGTCACTGTGGCTGAGGATGCTCTCAGATGCCTGGTTGTCAGGCCAGGCATGGCCTTTCAACCTGACGGCCATGATTCCTGGTTTCTTTGCCTTGCCAACTTGCGATGGTGCTTCCTTGGGTGGCCGTTTTCTGCTGTTGGTGATGATGGGCAAGCATGGCAACTCGATCCTTTTGGGTCACTTCAACCCTTTTTCATGCACAAGATGGACCAGTACCAGTGCACTTATGTCAATCCTGTCATGAATCCGGGGTCGCAGACCATACAGCTTGAACATGGTGATGTTGAACTTCCCTTGCGGTGCTTTCTCCGTTTCTTCAGTGGCGATCTGGTGCAACACCAACTGGTCTTCTTGGCAGAAATCCATGGCCATGCAGTGTCCCAGACAAAGGCTCGAGTCGCTCTTCTTGAACTTCTGGCTCTTGAAGTGGGTGACCAGGAGTTTGCAGACAGTGTTGTTCACTCAGACCCCATTTGCAAGAAGAAGGTTGCTGCCGGTGCTCAAGACGATGGAAGAGATGAAAGAGATGTGCAGGATGAATTGGCTGAGATCATCCTGGAGACCATGGACCGTGAGGAACTCAGCGACTTCAAGGACATTCTGAAAAGGGTTTCGTCCAAGGAGAAGACCAAGAAGAAACTCAAATGGCAGAAGTTGTTTGAGCAGCACATGGTGCACTGGCAATCAGTTAACATGTTTCGATCCCAATGGGTTTCAGTCTTCGGTCCAGTTTCTTCACAATTTGTTGAAGTGGTTTCCGGATGCTGTTCAAACCAAGTTTTTGGATCTGTGGGTGTGTGTGTGTGAGTTAGTTTCCTATCTTTGCATGAGGCCAGAAAAGCTGCAAAGGGCAAGGGCAAAGGCAAACGCAAGGGCAAAGGGCGAGGCAAAGGCAAAGGCAAAGTGCGTAGGAGACTCAGCTTCGACAATGCTGATGAGATTGATGGTGATCATCCCGATGGTGATGACAATAGTAGCAAGCCCAGTGGCAGTGTCAAGAGGAGAAGGCTTGACCCGAAAATCAAAGATCCTGCAGATCCTCCTGAAGAAGCTCCTGAAATTGGAGAAGCTGGCGATGGCGCTGGCCTTTTTGGCGATGATGTCATGGATGCTGCAGATCCTCCTGAAGAAGCTCCTGACATGGGAGGTCTGTTTGGCGATGATGTCATGGATCCTGCAGAAGCTCCTGAAGACACAGTGGGTGGCGGACCATGTGATTCAGCTGACGACTCCGGCCAGGAGATCAATCGTGTCGACGCTGAGATTGAACCAGCGGCTGGGTCAATGATGGCAGAAGTTGCAGAGCAACCAAAGGATGAAGCAGCTGAGGTGGAAGCAGTGGAGGTGACAGATGAAGGCGCCCCCCGAGCTTTGGAGCATGAGCAACCTTCATCATCAGATGCAGCCCCAATGCCTCCGCCAGTCCCTCGACCTGTGTCGGAAGCGGGGCCTGATCTGAGAAGCTCTGGTGTGCGAGGACCTACTGTTTACCACTCTCCTTCTATTCTTCGTGAAATCAGCCCGCCTGGTTGCACCATATCGCTCAACAGAGCCTTTGACATGGCTTTATTTTGCTTTGCCTGTTTCCACAACTTGTTTGGGTGAGATTTTCAATTCAAGTGAACTCCAGTCAATTGAATCACTGGCTGACTGAGGGTTGGTGTTGGTCAAAAGTGTCATGTTTTTTTGGCCCATGATCTGAGATACGGAGCACCGATTTGTGGCGAAGCCCTGTACTGCATTGTCCTACCTGTCATCCCACAGCAAGGTGTTCAATGTGGCAGCAGGTGATTGGCAAGACAGTTTAGTGGACGTTCACCACTGGGCATGGACACAGTGGAAATCCTACAAAGACAAGGGCCCCTGGGCCGGAAAGAGAATCAAATCCATTTTTCTTTAGTGCTTTTGCAGTAGGCTGCTTTCAGTTTTCAGTGGACCTCCTTGTCCTCACATGCCCTCTCCTCTTGATGCTGCAACAGGTTACGTGGCACAGTTCCAAGATCGTATCGACCCGTCAGTCATTGAGAGAATGAAGCCGATCGTTGAAGCTCTACCTCCCAAGAAGAAAAAAAGCCGTTCATAAGGCAAATTAAAAGTCAGCCTTTTAAAAAGACTTGGCTCGACTCGAGTTTTGAGTTTCACAGCCCGACCACAGACTAAGCGAAGAGCAAACGAAAATGCAGCCCATGCCAAGTGTCCTGCAGTTGTTTGACACTTAGCAGTTGTATGACACTTAGCAGTTGTATGTCATCTCAGTCTCAGATTATGTCAGGTGATTGTCATCGCAAGGTCAAAAGCAAAACTGATTGCTGTGCCACTTGCTGCTGACTTGTGTCTCCTGTAGCCTCACTCAGGTCAGTCAGTTGTCAGTCGACCAGCCATCTTTCAAGGTAAATGTCACAGAATGTCACAAGCTATTGTCAGTAGATTTTTTCTTGATTTGATTCAGCCAGCCAGTGATCATGTCACATCATGTTTTGAACATGATCCATTCCAATCAGCTTACTCCATTTGAAAATACCCCACCGCCATCATGGACTCTTCTGCGTGCTGGTTTCCGTTGGTGGCTTTGGCTTTGATGGCAGCATCAAAGCCGATGCCGATTAAGAAGGTGAAGAAGAACATGTCAAAGCGGAAACCCAGCCGCCGCCAAGAGCTGATGGGACATGTGGCGAGCACAACGCAGCCCCGGAATGCCCAGCAGTGGAATGGACCAACTCATACACTCGATGGTGGCTCACTCAAAAACAGCTCTGCATGTGGACTGTGGCCGAAATTTCATGCGGCTTGCCATCGGAAGATTGCAGATTTTCTTTGCTGGTCAAGTATGCCAAGGTTGGAGTAGAAGCTTCACAGTTGTGGTGTGTTTGGAAATAATTAGTTAGCATGGGGGTTTGCTGTTCTGTTAATGACCGCTGATGATGAAATTGAATGTTTTTTTGCCTGCAGGCAGCTGGAAAGCTTCAATAGTGAGATTGTGGACCGCTACTCCAAGTTGATTGATGATTTCATGCGTTCTGATGCTGCAAGTGGAGGTGAAGCCATGAGGCAATGGCCTAGCATATTGCGCTTGAGTTACCCTTCCTTTCGCACTTGGGATCTGCCTCAGATGCTGCTCTCACTGATTCTCCGTGGCTTCAGAAACCAGCAAACAAGTGACCCAGCCTGCCCACATGATCACTTCTGCGAAGCTTTCTCTGGCACAGGGAATTTGACACGAGAATGCCTTCGGATGGGGCTGAGAGGATCAGCCTTCGATTGGGTCTACGAGGCGGAGGAACACAATTTGTGCAGCAGCAAGGGTGTGAGATTAGTTCTTGACTGCATTTCCGGATTGTGTTGGCATGGCCTGCTGTGGATAGCATGTGAGTGCAGTAGTTTTACTGTGCTTTGCAGAGCAGTCAGCTGTCGGCATGAAGGGAATGGCTTCTTGGGAGACACATCACGAAACTTCGTGGCCACAGGAAACCTATTGATGTGTGTCAGCAGCCTCTTCTACTTCATCAGCTACGCCTTGCAAGTGTATGTAGTGCTGGAGCAGCCGCAGAATTCCTGCTTGCAATTCTGCGAGCCTATCTGTGGAGTTTTCCGCTTCACTGGAACTGTGGCATTCAGAGTGTACCTTGGAAGTTATGGTTCTCCCAGTGTCAAACCTTTGTCCGTTTTCACCACTTGCAAGAACATTCAGCGCTTGGAGTCGAGCAAGGCCAAATGTGAATCGCAACTGGTGACACGGGATGAAAGTGGCGCCTTCACTGGCATTAAAGATGAACTCTTCAAGTCTCAGGAGTACACTGCATCATTCGCTCGTTGTGTGGCCCACTTGCTCCAGGAAGAGTTGGGGCAGCACTAATTAGGTTTTAAAAAAATACTTGGCTTGCAATCAGTGGGTGCGCAGTCAAACGGCTGCACTTTTCCTCACTGATGGGTCACAGTGTCTGCTTGCATGGTGAAAACGATCGTCATTTGATGCAATTGGCCACGCGCAGCTCTGATTGATCCATCTTTATCATTCTTTGCGCTAGGCTTCAAATTGGCAAGTCAGTTTCGGTCTTAAGTCATGACATGACCACTGCTGTGTCACCATTGTCGGACAATCTTGCCCGTGCTACCATCAATTTTGTCTGTGCACTTTGCTGCTCTAAGGAGCATTGGAACCGAAGGTCATTTCTGTCAGTTGTAGACTCACAGCCATCTTGGCCTGTCAGCTGTACTGGTTAGGTGCCAATGGCATACCCTCATGTCGTGTTTTTTTTGCATTTTGCTGTTAAAATGTTTTTAAACATCTTTTTTGAGAAATAATGATCCAAATATGTAGCCCTGAAAAAACAAACCATTACTAATCTAAACCCCCTACAACGCACCACCCGCATTAAATTTGGTGAGAAACCATGGTGAGCCGCAATTGCCGATGGACCCCGGATGCATTGGCAAGCTCAGAAAAGGCGTCTTTGGCCTGAGTGACTCACCTAGGAGATGGTACTTGCGTTTGAACAAGGCTTTGCAAGCTTTGGGATGGGAACGCTCCACTCTGGACTATGCTGTTTGGTTTCTTTGGGCCCCAGATGGAACGTTGAATGGTGTCATAGCCTCCCATGTTGACGATTTGCTTTGTGGTGGAAACGAAGAAGCAATGAAGCCTTTGGATTTGCTGGGGAAGGAGTTAGGTTTTGGCTCCCTCTCGTGTGACGAGTTCCAGTACTGTGGGAAGAAGATCTCCCAACAAGAAGATGGCACGATCCGTGTGAGCATGGAAGAGTATACCACGCGAACCTGAAAACAGTGGCTATTTCGGCAACCAGACGCAAGCAGTTGGACTCAGACCTTTCTGCAGCTGAGCTGAAACAACTACGTGGTTTGCTTGGATCTTTGCAATGGCTGGTAAATCAGGTGCGCTTTGACCAGCAGTATGCCCTGTCAGTCCTGCAAAGCGAGAAGCCGAAGCCCGGCACTCTGGTGAAAGCCAACAACTTGGTGCCAAAGTTCAAGGAGCACTCCGACATGGCTCTCTACTTTCGGCCCTGGGCCCTTTGACCTGAACAACAGTGGAGTAATGGTGGTGACTGACTCATCACTGGGAATCGTCAAAGCTGATGGTAGCACTGGCGATGAATCCTGGAAACTGTCTTGCGAGCGAAGCGTTGATGGATGGTAAAACTGGAAGCTTCAGTGTCATTGACAGCAGAAGCCACCGCATTGGCCGTGTTTGCAGGTCAACGTATGGAGCTGAGCTGCTTGGTGCCGAGGAATCCTTTGACATTGGCCAGTTCATTCGTGGCGTTGTGGCTGAATTCCAAGGCATTCCAGTTCTTGGACGTCATGTTGACCACGTGCTGGATTCGATTTCAATGCGCGTCGTCACAGATGCCAAAGATGTGTACGACCGCTGCAGCTCAGACACAAGTTCCTATGGCTCCCAGAAAAGCCTTGCCTTCACGATTGCTTGGTTGAGAGCGATGCTTCAACGCCCCAACACAAAGTTTCGTTGGACATTGACCATGAACATGTTCATCGACTGTGGAACGAAAGAGATGGACGTCTCCCACTTCCAGCAGATTGTGAAGACTGGTCGATGGTGCGCAAAGTATGAGGCAGCCTTTGTGAAACAAGGCAAGACAAAGGCAGCCAAACCGAAGCCCAAACGGAATGCAACGAGCAGCACAGACCTTCCCGGAGTTGCGCTGAGTGAGGGTGACCCGATGTTCCAGCATGTACTGCAATTAGGAGATGTTACGGGTTGGCACCAGAAAGATGGTGTTGTGATCCAAGTAGCTAGGAACGCATGGTCCTACAGGACACCAAGGCCAAGATTCTTACCATCCGATTATCCTTTGAAAAGCAGTTTCGCTAGGTTTGATGCCCAAACTGGAAGCGTGTGGAGAAGGTTGGAAACTGAGGATGGATTTGAGAAGTTAACCAATTCTCAAGGACTAATCGGAGATACTGCAGCAGTGCTCATTAGCTGCTTCCACGCCAAGTCCAACAAAGAAAATGAACCTGCTGTGAAACTGACAGGTTGACTTGGGTGGAGCATGAGCATGTAACATGTGACATACATGTGCCGTGGCCGTTTGTGGCTGGATGCCCATTCAGGCCTTGATCCGAACTTGCTACACAATGAGGAAAACCGAGCTGCCCTGCCTGCTTGCAGCTTGAGCATTCACAATAGTTAAAACCATTTTTCCGATCTCAAAATCAGTTAAATTTCCTTTTATAGCGCGATTAAAATATGGCGAAAAATTTCATTTCGAAGCAGACCCTATTAATACATTTAAACCCTTGACAATAAAAACTGTTATTCCCGATCTCAAAATCAATTAAATTTCCGTTTATAACGCCATTAAAATAGTGCCAAAATTAGATTTCGAAGCGGAACCTATTAATAAAAGTAAATCCTTAATAATCAAAACTATTTTTCCGATTTCAAAATCAATTAAAATTCCTTATGTAACGCAATTAAAAGCCCTAATATAGAAACTAAAAAGAATCGGACGGGCCCTAATAATAAACGCCCCGGGGCTAACTAGTTTTTATTATAAGGGGGCAAAACCCACAAATGGTAGCTTTATTGTTAAATCGTTTTCTAAAGGGGATCAATTAAAAGTCAAATTGGACAATCTGAAATTCTCCAAAATTGGAGATGGACCCTAGTTTTTAGTATTTGGGGACGTTTAGTAATAGGGGGAAGGGATTAGGTGAACGTAATGTTTGTTTGATGTATTGCAACGTGGTTTGTTGAGGCATGCAGTATGAGTATCATTTGATTTGTCTGTAGCCCGGAATATGTTTTTGCTGCCTTAGTTTAACACAATGGAATAGCAAGGGATTTTGTGTTGCCACTCGATAGGTCACGGTCCATGATCCTGTGCTGTGACAATATCCAACGTTTGCAGATGAAAATGCCTTGCATGTGTTGTTTTCCTATCATTCAGGAAAAAGTGCCTCTGGTGCTGGCAATCGAGAAGATGAAGGTGCAACCGCCGGCTTTTCTCGGGAAAATCCCTTGCCCCATCATCCATGTTAGCCAGCAAATGGAAACCTGAGTGGGACGGAGGCGCAAAATTTTGAATTAAGCCCAAAGAGTATCCCCAAACAACCAGAAACAAAAAACAGTTGCCAAACACGCAATGAGTGAAGTAAGTATGTTTATTGCCCCGCCCTTCTTACTCTAGAGGTCGGGCGTGCAAGGCGCAATCACAGCACAAACACTTTATGAAACAACGCTTTTCCAAAAGCGTTTGCAATACTGTGGCCAATATTCCCGAAGCTCGCGCGAAGGGTTTTTCCCAAAGAACTGCTGTCCGCCTCACTCTTCACTTCATCTACCTAACATACATCATCCACATCTCTTATGTCCTTTTCATCACGACCTACATCTTCTATACCATCTTCTACACCATCTTCTCTAGGTCTACATCTACATCTACACCATAATCATCATCATCATCATCACCTACATCTGTCTCACCTACATTATCTACACCACCTACACATTTTTCCATCAACCTCATCTATATGACATGTTTTATCTACAACACATACATTACCTACATCATCATCATCATCATCATCATCCTCATCATCATCATCATCATCTACATCACTACATCCCATACATCACCCACATCACCTACATCTTCTGCACCATCTTCCCTACATCATCATCATTGTTATCATCACCACCACCACCATCATCACCATCATCATCATCGTCATCATCATCATCAATCTCACCTTCATCATCATCTATCTCACCTTCACCATCTACATCACCTACACAATCTTTTTCCATCAACCTCATCTACATGGCGTACATCATCTACAACACATACATGACCTACATCATCTATATCACTGCATCCTCTACATCGCCTACATCTTCAAACCTTCTACTTTCCACCACTTACAACATCAGCCTCATCATCTACAACATAGACAACATCACCTACATCAGCTACAGGTGATCAACTTCTCGGGAACTCCTACAAAACTTGAAAAATGTCATTTACATTCGAGTCGACTTGCAGGTGATCCACTTCTACTTGAACTCCTACAAGACTCCTGCCTGCAAGGTCATTTGCACAGAAACTGTTACACAGGAGTTGCTACACAGGAGTTCAGCGAACTTCCAGGTGATCAAATAGTATCTGAACTCCTGCAAAATCAGACTTCTCCAGTTCTCCTATTTCTCTCTGGCGGCAGGGACAGCCAGGCAGTGACTTACGAAACGTTACCCTCTGCGGCGTGTCGGACACCCAAACGTGTGGCGAAATGCGGGTCTTGTTTGTCCTTGGGCAACCCTCTGCGGAGATCGTGCGTGTCGGATGGGCAAACATGTGGTGTGGTGAAATGCGAAACTTCTTTGCCCGCAGCGACCGTCTGCGGAGATCGTGTGTTTCGAACGCCCAAACATGTGGTGGAATGCGAACTCTTTTGTGCACGGGCAACCCTCTGCAGAGATCGCGCAGGTCGGACATCCAAACATGTGGAAGCATGCAAATTTGGTGGGGCCCGGCGCAGCCCCTTCGCACGTCAAAAGCTGGTGTAAAATTGTGATTTTGAAAGTTCAGATGCAAGCGTGGCATGAGAAAGTGAAACGGCAATAACTGTGGGAAAACTGAGATTTGTTAACGTCAGATGCAAACGTTCAAGAATGGGTGAAAAATTGCGACGTTATCCGTTATCCATTTTGAAACACCAGGCACAACCGCTTCGCGCGAAATAAAACTTGTTTAAAATTGCGATTTTACAAGCTCAGGCGCAACCCTTTCACGCAAAATGATTGTCCAACGTCAAAAATTGCGATTTTCCAACGCCAGATGCAACCCTTTCACACGATATGATGGCCGAACGTCAAAAATTTACGTAAAATTCCGATTTTTTGAAGTGTGTAAAAGCTGCTCTGTGGAATCGGTTTTTCTGCGGGAAAGCGTCTGTTTGTAAAGGCTTCTCTGTGTAAAAGCTTCTGTGCATAAAAGCCTCCGTGTACAAGCTTCTGTGTGTAAAGGCGTCTGTGTGTAAAAGCTCCTGTGCTCAAAAGCTTCTCTGCGTAAAAGCTTCTGTGGAAAAGCTTGTGTGGAAAAGCTTCTGTGTGTAAAAGATTCTCTGTGTAAAGGCTTCTCTGTTTCAGAGCTTCTGTGATTCTCTGAAAAACAATCTGTGTCTAAAAGCTTCTGTGTGCATAGGCGTGTATATGTCAAAGCGTCTCTGAGTAAATGCTTCTGTGTGGAAAGGCATCTGTGTTCAAAAGCTTCTGTGTGTAGAAGCATCTGCCGCATCTGTGTGAAGAACTTTTGCGTAACTGCCTCTATGTGTAAAGACCTGTCTGTGTAAAAGCTTGGGCATTTGTGTGTTTAAAGCTTCTGCGCGTATAAGATTGTATAAGCTGCTCTGTGCAAAAGCCTCTCTCTGTGTAAAAGCTTCGGTTTGTAAAAGCTGCTCTGTGTAATCCCTGCTCTGTGAACAAGCTTCTATGCGTAAAAGCGTCTGTGTGTAAAGGCGTGTGTGTAAAGCTTTTGTGTGTGTAAATGTTTCTGTGTATAAAAGATGCTCTGTGTAGAGGCTTCTCTGTGTAAAAGCTTGTCTGTGTAAAGCTTATATGTAAAAACTTCTGTGCGTAAAAGCCTGGGGGCGTCTGTGTGCAAAAGCTGCTCTGTGCATCTCTGTGTGAAAGCGTCTGTGTGTAAAAGCTGCTCTGTGTAAAGGCCTCTCTGCGGCAAACCTTCGGTCTGTAAGCTCTGTGACCAAGCTTCTATGCGTACAAGCGTCTGTGTGTAAAAGCTCTGTGTGATTCTGTGTGTATGTAAAGCTTTTGTGCGTGTAAATTCTGTGTAAAAAAGATGCTCTGTTTAGACGCTTCTCTGTGTAAAAGCTTCTCTGTGTAAAGCTTCCGTGTGAAAACCTTTGTGCGTAAAAGCCTCTCTGTGTAAAGGCCTCTCTGCGTCAAAGCTTCGGTGTGTAAAAGCTGCTCCGCGTAAACGCTGCTCTGTGAGAACAAACCTGAGTGTAAAAGCTGGTCCGCGCAAAATCGCGCAAAGGCTTCTCTGTGTGAAAGCTGCTGTATGTAAAACCCGTTTGTGCTCAAAGTTCCTTCCCGCAGACGCTTGTCTGTGAAAACGCTTCTCTGTGCAAAATCTTCCCTGTGTAAAAGCTTCTGTGTGTGTGTGTGTAAAAGCTGCTCTGTTTAAAGGCTTCTCTGAGTAAAAGCTTCTGTGTGTAAAAGCTTCTGTTTGTAAAGGCATCTCTGTGCAAAAGCTTCTGTGTAAAAGCTTTCTTGTGAAAAGGCTGTGAAAGTTTCTGTGTCTAAAAGCTTCTTTTTGTGAGGCGTGTGTGTGCAAAAGCTCCTGTGTGTAAAAGCTTGGGCATCTGCGCGTTAAAGTTCCTGTGTGTAAAGACTTCTTTGTGAAAAAGCGTCTGTGTGTAAAGCTGCTCTGTGTAAAGGCTTCATGTGGTAAGGCTTCTTTTGAAAAGGCTTTTCTGTGTAAAAGCTTCTGTATGTAAAAGCGTCTGTGTGCAAAAGCGTCTGTGTAACAGCTGCTCTGTGTAAATCCCTCTCTGTGTAAAGGCTTCTGCGTGTAAAACCTTCTCTGTGTAATTTTTTCTGTGTAAAAACAACATGTCCTCAGGTGCCAGCCCTGGAGCAAACCCTCTGTGGGGACAATTAGAGGACCGGATAACCCCACAAGTCAACTTCTTCCAAAAATGAGCAACAAATTTTGTAGCGGGGACGGGACGGGGAAGGAAGGAAAGACAAAGGAGCATGTGAAGAGTTGTGTGTGACAAAGTTGTGTGTGAAAGCTGGTGTGTGTGAAAGCTGTGTGTAAAAGATGGTGTGTGACAAAGTTGTGTGTGAAAGATGTTGTGTGACAAAGTGGTGTGTGAAAGGTGGTGTGTGAAAGATGGTGTGTCAAAGATGG